AGAAAGTGAAGCCTCCTACCTCCAATGCTTCACAATATTCCATCGTCGGATATGCGACAACCTATCGCTGGTGGTTTTACCAGAGGGATTCCCCAGAGAAAGCCTCGGTCACGAATGACCCATTTCCAGGTCCTGAGATTCGACCTGCACAACTACCAGCCCGACTGCGGATTGCTCAATTCCTGATCCTCCCTCCACATCAAGCTCGGGACATGGTACCCATCTGTATACGACCATCCATACCGCTTGCTTCAATGATTCGACGATTGTCGAGTTGACGGTCGAAGACCCCAATGAAGCATTTGACGCACTTCGCGATACCGCAGATTTCCACATCCTGCGCCCAGAATTCCTTAAACACAACGTGAATATCAATCCCGACCCCTATGCAGCACACCCTAAGACACAGCGCCCTCGTCGTGTCCCAACATCTGCCCTTATCCCCACAAAGCTTCTACACGATATCCGTTCCACTTATAAAATCGCCTCAACACAGTTTGCTCATGTCTTGGAAATGTTTCTCCTGGGAGAGATTCCCACCAAGAATCGCCATGCTGGTGGCGCAAATATGTCACGTCTATTGATAAAGAAACATAATGCTGCGGATCCGAATGAGCGGCGGTACTACTGGTGGCGCATGCTGGTTAAGCAGCGTCTCTTCAAGCGCTCTCGTGATATTCTCATCCAGCTAGAGATGAGCGACCGCATCGAGAAACTTGAGGAGACAGTGACCAACGTGGAGGAAGGATACGAAGCATTAATCAAGGTCTTCACTGCCAGAGAGGAGGCTCTAAAGGCTAAGCAAGAGGAATCTGGTGAATCGCCTGAAACTGCAGCTTCAGAAGACTCAGCTACGAGTTCCGGTGATACTTCCGCCAGGGATCAGCGCTCTAAGAGAAAATTCACAGTAGAAGATGAGGATGAGGAGGAAGAGGGTGAACCGGAAGCTTCCAAGCGTCCGAAGGTGTAAATTATGAACTACTTTCCCTATTCGGGTTTCCAGAGTTGGCGCATCTGGCTTAAATTGTCCAAAGGAAACTTCGATAAATGTAATATCAGCGCTCGCGAGCTGTCAAATTCATGCTATCTTTTGTACATTGTTTCCACTAATGAATGGCGTCATTTATGGTAGCTGGGTCAGTGACTATAGCTTCCAGTATGTCTACAGTCATATATGAAGTAGCATCCAGGCTCATCAGACTTCTCATTCTTAGCGATATAACCACCGAGAGACCAGTTGTCGATGGCTATCGTATTCGATGTTTTGCTTCTTAGGTCGAGATGTCCGACACCCTTGGGCATATATATCCTACCAATATCTAAAGTTCAAGGAGCAGGTAAAGGATTTATAGCCGTTCAGCTAGCGCAAATAAGGAGTGAAGCCGATGTCATCTTGGGCATCAAGGCCGCCGACGTGGACCGTCAGAACTTGACGTATTGGCTCAACTGACGAGTCTCCAGAAGAAATACAAGCACTTTGCCAATTAGCAGCTAGTACTCCATCACTATTGTCGGGATGTGACGGAATTAACCCGGATCAGTAGTCATGGCTATAATTCCAGACCCGAGCCAGCTCATTTCCATTGAGAGATAAATCCATCCCATCAAAAGCTTGATTCGCTACATAGACGCCCAGCTCAAACGGCTAGGGCTTGACTACGCAGTAGTATTTATGTACTAGTTGGCGGATCTCGGACTTGCTTTTCTCCGGATCTCCAGGTTGCGATCACCGCCGCCGCTGGAAGCTCGTGCGGAGCTTCTTGGTTATTGAATCCAACAAACCGAGGGCCTGCTCTTCCCTCAAAAACGCCTTGCTTCATACTCTGTCGCTATTATTCGGTGTCGCTTTATTAGTGGATACCTGATTCCGCTAAGAACAACTGTATCTTAGCCTTCGCCCGCTTCACTTTCGGATATCAGCCAACCTTTAATATTGCCCACACTGATCAATTTGCGAAATGGTATTTACCTGCCATGCTCAGCCTGACCAGTTTGGTCTTCGGATTTGCGATTGCTGACGACGTACTACCCATAGTTACCCCTAGGACTGCTCACGGCCGCCCAGGGCCATCCAATGCTCGTGGAACTTAAGAACGGCGAAACACTGAACGGGCATCTTGCCAATTGTGATAACTGGATGAACTTAATACTCAAAGAGGTTGTCCAGACTAGTCCAGAGGGTGATCGGTTCTTTAGGCTGCCGGAAGTCTACATCAGAGGAAACAATGTAGGTTGTCCAAGGCGCAAGTGGTTTTGGCGAGTACTAATGTGTGTTAGATCAAATATCTACGGATCCCCGAAGAGATTATAGAGATGGTCAAGGAACAACAGCAAAACCAGCCTTCGAACCGCAATCGTGGTGGACACTCTCACAGGGGCGACAGAGGTGATCGGGGTGGTCGTGGTGGACGTGGTCGCGGCCGCGGCCGCGGCCGAGGTAGCAGCTAAAGATATGTCTAGAACGTGATAACAAGTGATGCGAGAGAAAGATAGATACCCCGAGGAGATGATGTAGGTAATTCATGAGGTCCGTTGGGCGGGTTAGTCAAGCATGATCCTGGCGTATCTGGCTCTGTTTTTTTTCAATGGGAAATGTGCCATATGAACCACTTTTTTTTATTTCCTACCGGATAGCTTCTCTATATAGAATCCAACCAATGAATACTTGGAAAGCCATCCTACTGATCTGGGTTGCGCAGCTATACTGGGCCCCCTTGGTCCATTATCGCATTCAGTCATGGTGATCTGTATCACGTGATGATATGGACCTTTTTGACAAGGGAATTTAGATGGGAAGGCCGACGTTTCGGGTTACCCAGAGGGTCGAAATGCCACGGCAGACACTTATTGTAGATGGACTTTGGTATTGCCTCTGTCCATCATTCAGCCTCAACGCCTTCAAGCGCCCCGGAATCCCTCTCATAAGGTGTAAACGAGCACCTAAACCCGGTCAATATGCTGCTTTCTTAGCGGGCCCTGTATCAACATCGCGGAAATGTCTGAGCAGTGCTTCTCTTCAAAAGGTTGGTGGAATTGATCCGCCAAAAGAAGATGGGTCCTTGGGAGATGGATATAACGAATCAGTGAACCAGCACCCAACCCCTGATCAATTGGATGTGAACCACAAGCTTGGGCAAGATGCTGGCACATCGCTGAAAGAGGAGATCTCTGGCGCGGAGAATACCCGCAAGCGTCCACCTGGAGTTCCCAAAACTCTTGAACATAAACCGACATCATTTTTGGAGCAAAAGCTTCAAGAGCTCACGACCTCAGCGCCAAGGGTCCTAAGCACGAGCCAGATACTGCGCATTCTGATCAGAGATCGTCATGTACGCCCCGAGGTACGACACTATAGGGCACTATTACGCGCCAATTCGGATGCAGAGCGTGGATCGCCCGAAGTAGTTCGAAAGTTACTAGCAGAGATGGAGGCGAGTGGATTTACGCTGGATTCTGGAACGCTGCACACGGCATTACAGGTACGGCCGCAGCCTACCGTGGTTTTCTTCCCTACACTTTGCGGGATCTTTTGGCTGATAATACTTCTCATTAATAGGCTATCGCAGTTCATCCGGACTATCTACTACGCCAGGAAATAGTGCGTACCCTTCGAGACCGATGGCTTCCGTTGAGCCCGGATGGTTGGCATTATGTGGTAGCTGGCCTTGTGCGAGAACATCAATTCGAGTTGGCCCTGGATCATATTGCGCACATGGAGAGAAAGGACATGCCGGTTGAGGGTTGGTTGCACAGCATGCTCGTCTACTACCTCTGCGAATTTGAAGAGTTTGACGAGGTGGTGCGATTGATGCGTTCACGGGTTGATCAGGGGTATGACATGACGACAGACCTGTGGCTTTACGTACTAGATGTGGCGAGTGCCGCCGTTCACCATGAGTCTACACGCTTCGTGTGGGATCAAATGGTTGAACTGAGGTATCTTTATCCATCATACGGAGTCTGCAGTAATGTATTGACAGTGGCGTCCCGTACCGGGGATACTGAGCTTGCTGCGTCGGTCGCTCGCTTTCTGACCGAAGCCGACGTACCCCTTAGTTTAGAGGACTATGAAAAGATCACCGAGGCCCACGTGATCTCTGGAAACCTTTACGCTGGGTTTGAAGTGCTTTGTGAAATGCATAAAGCAAAGATTGCGTTGGAGTCAAGCTCAACTGCCGCCATTCTAACCTACATGATACAATCAAGAACCAATCCACGAGAGGCGTGGTCTCTGCTGAAGAAACTCAAAGCTTTGAAATATGAAATTCCCCTTCGATGCGCTCTAGTAGTGCTCGAGATGTGCGAGCACGAAGCCATTAATGATCCTTTCGTGGTGGACGATGGGCTTGCGCTTTACAAGCAACTCTATGCGTTGTGCTCGGAGAAGGCCGATGTGTCAGTTTACAACTCGCTTATTAGCATGTGCCGCCGGGCTAAAAATACCGACGCCGGTATGTTTGTTGTGAAGGAAATGGCCACACTGGGTGTGGTACCGAACGCCACGACATTTGAACATCTCATCATCATGTGTTTAGATGCTGGTAACTTTGAATCGGCATATATGTACTTCCAGGATCTGCTGGCACGAGACGCATCCCCCAGCGAAGAGGCGCGAGCTGAGATCCGGGATCTCTGTACCGGTTCGAGCGACCAGTATGCTGTACAACTGAGGTATCACCCGCAGATCAGGGATGCGTTAGTGGGCAGACAAGCGGATAATTTTGATCCCACACAAGTCCGCGCAGGTCTCATCAAGAAGGTGCCGTCTGATTCACCCCCGGAATACGCCAATCGTTTCAGACAGGGGCCGCGGAAGACCATAACCAAAGAGGAGCGACGGGCTGAAAGCAAAGAGAAACGGAAACAGAAAAGAAGACGACTAGCTATTGCAAGGGCCCGAGAGGAAGAAGGATGGGAAGATTACGTGCCCGGCGGACTAATTCCTGAGGATCAGGTTAAGGCCGATGCAAATTCGCCATCCAGTTGAACTGGGTGTCGTTACCTTGTACAATATTTTTTCTGCCATTGTAGTTTAGTGTATATATATTAGCGGTAGTTTAGAGGTACCAAAACAACCCATGATGGATGTGACCGATCTGAGATTTGACGTCAATCACCACCTGACGTTGAAGCAGTCGCAGGGCCAACGTCCACTGAGAGCATTGACAACGACATGATGCAGGAAAAATCAAACGCTGCAAAGTAACAGTACCACATCTCCATGCATGTACCCTCGAGAAGCACACGGGGAATGTTCCCCATCCCATCCAACCGAAAGAGTTCAGACTGAGACCCCCAATGCAACACCAAGCCGACCCTCAAACCACCGTCGGGTTTATTTTATCTCGGAGCCAAGAATCTGATGTTTGGGGTCCAAGTTAGTCGGTCCCACTGGGACAAGTCCAGGGTTGAACTATGGTTCGAACGGTTCCAGTTCCGTTCCATGCGTTCCGTGATTTGCTATCTCCGTACAATACGGATACAATGAAGTTCATCGGTGGTTCTATAAATAATTGACAATTACTACAGCACGGAGGTATCGATATTGCGATCGTCCACCGAAAGATGGCTGACACACTGCCTCAACGCTTGTATCACGGGGGACAGCCACATACAGATTTACTATAGGGCTGGGGCACAAGATCGATACACAGTATAGTATTACGGGTATATTGATATTTAATATCTAGCCAGCCACACGGTACCTGCCATCTCACCCCTAGCTTGAACGCGGTTACACTCATGACGAAGGGATGATGCCGATGCCGCTACGAACATCCTCGACTTTGCCTCTCATGAGATGGAGGTTTCAGGTTTCTCCGTCCGGAGGAGTCCGGCAAAATCTTTGCACTGAATTTAGTGATCGACAGGATGCTAGTTTGGTGGTTCACTTTGGTCGAAGTGCTCCACAGCCAGTCGGGGGTCGAATGGCTCCTGCGCCCGACCTCCATTCATTCAGTGGTACTACTATAAAGCACGGGGACCCTCGGATATGGTGGATGGTTTTTGACCCTGCATTCACGACCTGAACATTTACTTTCCCCTACAATCAGTTGTTTAATCTCTATATAAACACGTCTGTCGCCCTTCTGATTTCTACCTCCAAAAGTCTATTTGCAGCCCTCATACTATATATCCTCTTCACTCGCAACCAACTTACCTACTGTACATCCACCATGCAGCTCTCTTCGGTCTTCACGGTCGCCCTTTCTGCTCTCAACCTTGCCTCTGCTTTACCTCTCCATCGCCTCGACACCAGTCCAGCTCTGTCCTGGCACGTCTCCAACTTCAACACTGGCTGCTCCCCAGGCGGCTGCGTGTATAACTTCAATATTACTGGCGTCGCAAGCCAGAACACTCCCGGATTCCAAACCCATTGCTCGGGTACCAATGTCCAAGATGATTACGCCTTCTGTGATGACAAGCTCGTGAAGGCGAAGGTGGTGTCTCAACTATACCCCGTGTGGACGGTCCATGTACAACACGCTTGGTTCCACGGCGAGGCCGAGTTCTATGCTCTTGGCCATGCCAACGTCACATCTACTCAAAAGAACTTCACTATCCCTGTGACTGAGGTCTATGGAGTCGCATGAATCCGGAATTCATGGGGGGGTCAGTCCTGACTGGGCTGTGCGAGGACTCGAAAAAGGGGGGGACGATCATCATGCCGATCCGCTATGGTTGACAGGATTCGCGACCACGAGAATGACAGGACTGAAAACGTCCACAATGAAAATGCTACACCAACAAGATAAGAAGGAAAAAGGAACAAAGAGAAGGAGCTCCTGGGGTGAAAGCGACATGAAACTTCTTTGTATCATACATATGACTCGGAGGACATATGAGAGGGTATTATTATAATGTTAATGTCTGGTCTTTAATGGCGGTCACTCATTTATGACATGGTCTATGATGAATAATTAATTGACACTCGTTTTGCACGCAAAAGCATACCAAACCCAACGGCGAGTCAGCTGCAGGGTTATCTGATTGAGATAAAGATTAAGGCTTGTTTACTTCCCTGGAATTCGGTGGTTTCCCGTGGCAGTGACATCATATCCCGTCTACAAGTAAATCGCCTCTCATGCTTCTAAAGGACTGCAGCGGTCATCATTCCAACTGCCCTTGATATTCCAACATTCCGCAAGGGCAGGAAAGTCGAAATAATTCTCTAATTATCTGTGCCCATCAGGTCCAGTGTTTCCCCCAGAGAACGCCTCGAAGCTTATCGGCAGTAGTTTGGAGTCTTGGCACATTCCATCGAGGCGGGTCATTGCAAATGGTCACGAACTGATCGGTCAACATTTACATCCACACCCTTTTTCGGGTCCTGCAGTTTAGCGCGAGGAGCTACATTCACTGAGACAGGCCTAGAGACCTTGCAGATACGCCTGCATACTCAAAACCAATGGTATGATCACCTCGTCAGGACAAAGCTCCCCGTGCCCACCGCCGAGACTGACCTTTGGCGCTTGGCTTCTTGTCCAACGCAGGCCTCGATCCTACGACAAATCGTCGCTGGTCCTAGATTACAGCACCCAGAAGCAGGTCTAGATCTATGCTATGTCACCGACAATCGTGAGTTTTCTATAGTCTTCCCGATAGCACGCTATTCGCCGTGGCTAACGCTTTCTCCTTTTCTTCGCTCCCATGCAGTGATTGCAACGTCTGGCCCGTCCCCTAGCTACCCGAAACGCGCCTACAGAAACCCGCTCGATGATCTAGTGAAATACCTTGACTCTAAACATGGCGAGGACTGGTGCGTCTTTGAGTTCCGGGCTGAGGGGACAGGGTACCCCGATAAAGCTGTCTATGGACGGATACATCACTACCCATTCCCGGATCACCATCCCCCACCATTTGCGCTTATTCCCTCACTTATGGGCTCTATGTATAACTGGCTCCATGGCAAGGATTCTCAGGGGGAGGCACAGGAGAAACGGAAGAGAGTTGCGGTGGTCCACTGCAAGGCTGGTAAGGGACGGAGTGGAACGGTCGCGTGTAGCTATTTGATGGCACATGAGGGCTGGAAGATGGAGGATGCTTTGCAACGGTTTACCGCACGGAGAATGCGGTCTGGGTTCGGCCCTGGGGTGAGTATCCCGAGCCAGCTGCGCTGGGTCGGGTATGTCGATCGCTGGGTGAACCAAATGGGCAAGATGTACATCGAACGACCGGTGGAGATCCTCGAGCTGCACGTGTGGGGTCTGCGGGATGGTGTCAAAGTTGCAGTGGAAGGGTTCGTCGATGAAGGCAAGAAGATTCAAAACTTTCACCTATTCAAACGCAGTGAACGCATCGTTGTGGACGATGGAAGGGCGAAGACAAATTCTTCACAGAAGACGGACAAAAAGAAAGTGAACGGCCAAAAGAATGGTATCAAAAAGGCATTCTCATCTGTAGTAGATTCATCGAGTTCATCCAGCTCGGACTCATCCGATGAGGACTCAACTACCCAGAAGGGCACGTCGGCCGTCCTCTTCCGGCCGAGCAAGCCGCTCATCCTCCCAACCTCCGATATAAATATTGATTTTGAACGAAGAAGCAAAGCTTACAAAGATTGGGCAATGGTGACATCCATCGCGCATGTGTGGTTCAACGCTTACTTCGAAGGCGGCGACAAGCAAGATTCAGGCGTCTTCGAAGCAGAGTGGGACACGCTAGATGGGATCAAAGGCACCTCCAGAAAAGGAGTTAGGGCTCTCGACCGGCTCAAAGTAGTATGGAGATACCCACCTTCGGAACCCGAAACAAAGAACTCGGAGACGGCGCCCACGCCGGGCCAAATCATCACCGAGCCCAAACCCGGTGAACCCATGTTCGAAAGCCATGCTGCTGACTGGAGAGGCCAAGACCCGGAAGAGCAGAAAGCTGCACGAGATCAGGAGAACATTCCGACGCGGGCTCCCGATGTCCCAGAGCACCCAAAAGAAAGCAAGGAGGATGCAAACCCGATCCTCGCAGGCCTCAGCACTGCCACCAGCAATGCCGCCGCCGCTGCTACAACTTCGGTGCAGATGCTAAGCAAGGATCTAGGACTGAGAAGGCAGACGGACGAGAGCAAAGACGTCAGTCTCGCCGAAAGTGAAGACAATGAGTCGGTGCTAGGTCACCGGAAGCAGGAAGGCGATGAAGAGAAAAGACAAGCCCTGAACAGAGCAGAAAGTGAAGACTTCCAAGGCGTACAATCTTACTTTGGAAATGGCGATAAAGACGACTCTACAAGCTCGCCGAAGCCTACTAAAGCTTCGTGATATACCCGTCCTTTGGCATGTAGACAGCATGTGATCTGGATGATATACGAATCTCCTTCTACTCTTTTGTTCTTTTCCCTCTTTTTTTTGTTGAATCTGCTTGTAACTGGTTTCATGGCAAGTGCCTTGGGAGATATTTATTTCGGGCCATATGCTCGTGTACATACAACATACCCATACAAAAATCGTTATTATGATTAATACTAGAAGGCGCAAAGTTGTGACAAATTCCACAAGAATTAGATATATACACAACCATTATTCTAACGCTACTTTAATTGGAAGTAAAGGTCCGGTTAAAGACATGATTACCTAGCACTCAGAGATCTCAAAGAGGCACAAACCCCTCCATACGTCGCCGGGCCTCTTCCTCCTCCCGTCGTAGTCGGTCAGACTTCTTGCGCTCATAAACGGCCCGGACGACGCGCTTGACTTGTTCCTCGCCTTGAGCGAAGTTTGCTTTGGCAAGTCCAACAACGGAGTCGATTTGCTCAGGGCTGTACACAAAATTCCAGGTGGAGAGGAAATCGTCAACGTCCGGATCAATGGAGCCAGGATGCGGTGTCAGCGGTTTCGCTGGGTCGGAAACCTTCGCGGAGGACTTTGTCTCCCTCTGTTGCGCGGGGGCTGGGGACTTTTTCAGCGACGAGCTGGGAGGCAGTTCCGGGGCGTCTGGGTTCGGGATGAGAGGGAAATACACGACCGCAATACCTGCATCAGGGCGCATGAGGTGGAAATCAGACTCTTCGTGATCCTTATTCCTAGGTTGGAAAAGACGCTTTGATGGCGGTGGTTCTTCATCGGAGACTCTCTCTTGTGTGGTGCCGACCCAAACATTGCAGTAATCTAGATCGGTCTCTCCGTTACTAGGATTCTGTCTCGGGTCCGTAGATGGGGTTTGTCCATTGCTCGCAGTGTTTCTGTCGTTGTCTTGAGCTTCCTTGATCTTTGAGTTGAGTTCTGCTTCGGAAATGTTTTGTGCTTCTCGGAGTTTTTCCTCTGCTTCCTTCAGCTTTGTATCCGCTTTTGGCCAGCCGGCACCTAATGGCCAGCCCTTGACGCCTCGTTGTCGTGCGTACCCGTCGACAACTGAAAGCCAGTTCTCTTGTTTTATGTCGGCTGAAGCGTCGAATGCAAGGATGATATCTACGTCTCTGCCGGGACGTAGTAGTGGATATATGGGTAGGTTGTTGCTCATTCCCGCATCCATTAGCCGCAGATGCGAGCTTCGGAAGATTGACTCAGGACAAGAAGGTGGCAAGACATCCTTCATACCTAGCACATAGTTCGGTATAGTGGCAGGGTCGATGGGATGAACTCGGACCAAATCTTTATTTTTCCCTTGGATTAAAGAGTCTATGCCTGCAAATCCAGCAATGCCTCGTACCAGTGGTCGTATCTCCTTGTAGTAATGAGATAAGGTCGCACAGAAAGCGCTCCCCCAAACTCCCATGAGGCCTGGAACACGTAGTTCAGGGATCGGGTACTGTCCCTCGGGAATAGAATTGACTCCTCCATTAAAATGCCTTCCCAAAGCCCATGTGGGTATGCCCGCCCCGAGCTCCTCGCAGAAGAATTCATAAGGTGTGAACTCAAACCACTGGAACCACGATTCATCCCGAGCCTCCTTCATCAATGTCTCAGGTGTCGGCTGGTTGTGGGTATGGCCTTCTTCAAGGCTCTCAAGGACTGGGATCTCGTGTCGAACGGCAGTGTAGATAGGAAGTGGGTGAAGCCCATCAGTGAGGTTGTATCTCTGATTGGATAATTTCAGGTCTCGATCTGAGACTCCAAGCTCTCCTTTGGGTACCAGCAATCTCGCAGCTAACAACATCCCATATATATCTACCAGTCCGAAATCTGCTCCAGGGTCGCCTTTTAACTTCTCAACTAACCCGCTAAGAAGATATTTATTAGTAGGGGCAGTTGTCAATGCATCGAGAGCCTTCGGCGGGAAAGCTATATGTACGCCCAACCTATGCTTGAGATGGTCCATGAGTTTCTGGAAATTGCGCCCCGTAATAGATGAGTGATACAGTGTCTGTAGCCAGCAACTGCCACTGACGCCAGCAGTATACGTCACACAGTCCCACAAGCCGGCTTCTTGTGTGGCCAGGTATGACCCAGTCCCAGCGACAAGCGCTCGCAGCCCACCTCCTGAACCGCACATAGCAATGATAGGGACGTCGTCTGGGTGGATATCCTCTGCAGGGATTCCCAAGTACGATGAAAGTGCTTTCACCCCATGCTCCCGCCTCTTCTGCCTGAATTCCAGTTCCTCACGACATAGATCGCTTCCCACGCGGACTCTTGCATCTTGTAATATTTCCGGATTGATATCCGGGTCGTGAGCCTCCTTCCAGATATCATCCGCAAGGGAGCCGGGGGCCATTGAAAGCTCACGCTGGAGCTTTTGCACTGTCGCTGGAAGCAATCGGGTCCAGTCTGGAATGATATAGTTCTTAAGATTGTCTATTTCGATCCAATCGGATGAACCCACCGTCTGCTTTACCCCATCGAACTTATGTAGGATATTAGTCCATATTGAGTTCGGGTCGCCATGATCGGAGCCGTGTTCGGAACTGTGTTCGGAGCTCCAGTCCCAGGTGCTCTTTTGCGGGCTAGCAGATGATGACTTTGCGGACTGGTCGTCTACATGATAGGTCGTAGAGGTGGAAAACCGAGCCGTTTGATCGGTCTGTAGTATTGGGTGTTTGTAGTAACGGGTCTGACCACTAGTGGTGTATAGTGCCCCACTGCCCAAAGCTATCAGGACAGCTGGAGGGACAGTCCAACGAAGACGCAATGCCTTTGCTGCACCCATGGTGTGACAGGTACCGCGCAGGAGAGGAGAGGTACAGGTACAGGGCAGCATGCAAGCTTTAAAGCCATGGCGAGTGGGCCAGACCACGGCGATCCCTTTCGTTGCATTTCGACTTTACCCGAACTTGCAGGAAAGGTGACATCATATCACGTGCATTCCTCGGCGCAATAGACGGACCGGAGACATGCCTCTTTGGGGCTAGCGGTGGTAGCGGAGTGTGAAAAGCAACCTATGAATTGCCGCTGTTGGTCTGGGGAGTAACAAAGCTCCATCAACTTAATTAATTATGCTCGCTCCATGAGGCCAGGTGCCTCATCGGCCAGCTGTTCAGTTCCTTGGAATCGCCCTTACTTTGGAATACCACTTTGGCTTCGACAAGAAAGACATGACGTCTTTTAGATAGAAGCGCGCTAGTGAAATTGTCATATTTTCGAGTTTCTTGATTGTTTCATATGATTGTGGGACCTGCCGCTCCAGCACTCCCTGACCATGGTAGCCCCAAGGAACACTGCTTACGCAGAGGAGAGCGCAGAGGTGGAGGTTCTGTATGCCAATCTTGAGAAGCTTAAAGTTCTTACCAAGAAGATCCAAGGTTCCCTTGTTCGCCTTGAGACTGGAGGGAACGTCGTGAAACATGCCATTGGGCCCATCTACAGTAATACCCAATCGCTTCAAATCACCAACCATAACATTGATAAGGTCAACGATGCTATTGACCGTCTGCGCCAACCCCTCGACGCAAAGAGTCGGGAGGAAGGCATCATCCGTTCTGGGTAAGCAAATGTTTTGTGTTCTTAAAGTAAACAACCTAGCTGACCCAGTGTCAGGCCGCAAAACGTTGAGTTGTCGCAATATCTTGCAGCAATAAAACGTGTAGAAAAGGCCCTCGTCGACCTAAACTCTACAAACTTGAGATCGAACCAGAAAGCTATTTCTGACTTCAATTCTTTGCTGAGTACCGGGACTGCTCGACTTCAGGACTTGCTACGAAGCAAGCTAAGCGACGACGTCAGTCCTATTGAGCCTTTGCATTATTTAACGAAAGGTGTGTTTCAACATTATGCGTGGGTTCCTTCGACCAGTAATACTAATATCTTCATATAGAACTGCCGTTTCCTTCGATTCCGGAAGAAACTGTTACCGAGTTGGGACCTATATGTGCCGCAATCAACTCCGCAGCAATCCACGGCCCACAACACGGCGATGGCGGAAATCCTGCCCTTAAAATATATGCTGCTGTCAGGGCACCGTATATTACCTCAAGCCTGCAAAATCTTGCCATTGCATCGCTGAATACTGTTAAGAGGCGAGCTGATGATGGCCCATACAAACAAGGCACCAATGGAATTGGCATTTATTCGAATGCTTTGGAGAACTTCATATACGCTGAGCACGATATTATCTCAAGAATCTTTACTGGGGATCAGCGGGGGTTGGCTCTACAAGCGACTTGTCAGTCAGCTCTGGCTGAATTTTCGAAGACCCTGCGTGAGCTCAATCAATATATCAAGGCGAATCTCATGACAGACTGCTTTTTAGCCTTTGAGATCATTGAGATTGTTACAGCGTTGTCTTATCGTGTTGATTCAAAGACAGGGGAACTCAAGAGCATGTTCATTGAGGCTCTTAGGCCTATCCGCGAAACCGCAAAGTCATCCCTCTCAGAATTGCTCGAAGAGACGAAACGAAAAGCTGCATCTATCCAGGTTCTTCCACCAGATGGCGGTTCTGTGCCTCTTGTCAACGAAGTCATGAGTTCTTTGGTCACGTTGACGGCTTATTCCGGACCGCTGGCATCTATTTTAACTTCCTTAGGAGATGGAAACTGGCGCTCTACTTCTAATACGTCGGGTGCTGCTCCTTTAGATGTCAGCCCAGATAGTTCAACACTTCTATCCCACTTCATTCTCGACATGATTGAAGCTCTTATGATTGCCCTGGAGTCGCGGGGCCGCGCATTCCATCGCACGAAAGCTGTCCAGGGCGTCTTCCTCTCGAATGTGTTTTGTAACGTTGACCGCGCTATTCGCTCGAATGCCGAACTAGCACGATACCTCGGCTCTCCCGACAGTATCGCACGGATAGATACCTTTCGCAAGCGCGCCACTTCTACCTATTTGGATTCTTGGAAGGAGACTTCGCAGTATCTGCTTGATGTGCAATACACATCTCGGGG